TTTGTTTATCTGAAAGATGTTAAAGAGGTATTATAATAGGATAAATGAACTTTACATCAGGATAGTCGATAGGATTGCTCAGATCACAAGGATCAGAATTCGTTACGGCCGTTGTTTGGCCGTTTTTCCTTCTCCGTAGTTAGACTTAGAACTTCCTACGCGGAGAAGCTTACCATTGCGGGTCTAACTTGAAGAGAAACCGCTCTATGCAGTTGATTTCTCGCTTCTCTGGATCTTGACTTAGACTTGAGCCAAAGAATTCGCTTATTGTTGTCATCATGTTGGTCCCCAAGGCTGTCTCCGACTTTGATAGCTGCTGAGCATATATTAAGAGTTTCCCCTTCATCCAGCGAAGCGTAGCAGTAGACCCTTCTACACTCTGAGACAATGCTGCTGTTCCGCAAAGGCGGGGCTCGAACATGAGCCAGACGCACAGCACACCGAAACAAAACAGGTCCGCTTTTACGGCCCGCCTAGGAGTCCACTGATGAACCCGACCGTTGTTTTCTGGCGCGTTCCACGGCTCCGATATTGGCAGAATGAGCGGCTGGTCTTCGTCGGCGTATTTCGTGGAGTAGCCAAAGTCTATGACCCTTGCGCTGTATCTCCTGGCATTGTCTTGGAAGACAAGGACATTTTCTGGCTTCAAATTACCATGTACAATGTCTTGAGTCCGATTTAGCGTGGCTCAACTCTCCACAGTGGGGGCGGCAACTTACGATTTGAGTGCACGTCGATAACCGCTCTTCCGATATCCGCGCAAAGCGTGAGTCGCTCCTCGAAAGTCATGTTCCGCCCCTCATTCGTTGCAAAGTGGTACAAGTCCCCTAGATGTGATTTTTCAAAGACTAGAACCGGCCACGGCTTATCGTTGTCAGGGGAGATGTCCCAGCAGATCCCCTGCAGCTGCACGATGTTGGCGTGCTCCTGTATAAATGGCTGACTTAGGATGGTGATCTCGGCGATAAGCGTTCGGAATATCTGCTCCTCTGTTTTATCCCGCTTGCGGTAGGTTTTGAAAGCAAAACTTGTGTCCAGGTTTACAAGTGTCTGATGGATCATGGACGTTCCACCGGCGCCAATAGCTCCGCTTGCATCCCAGGCAATGGGTAGAAACTCAACTTTCAACGCCTGCGCCGTGGCGAGAAAGGATAGAAAATTGAACCTCTCGGGGTCCGCCTCAATTTCACATATCTCCGCACCTGATGCAGACTGCCAATGCAACCAATAAGAGGCTCTATAGTCGGATGACATTGTTTGTAGTGGGTAGTCTAAAGTAGCGTCTTAGTATACCACTGGCATCAGGGCAGAGTTAGGCAGCTCGGTCATCACAGACAGTTGCGGTACAGTCAACGTTTGCAGAATAACTGGACCTGCCTCAAATTACATGAATTGTATTTTATCTCGGAGTACTGGCGGGAAGCATAAAGTCAATTTGGTCGGCTCCGCCCCACGCACTAGAGCTATACGACAGTGGTAATAACGTCATTTCTTGTACCTCCATATGCATGGAAAAACTCATACGGACCAAGGTACCATAATCTTATATATATAAAAACCAAAAGAGGTACTATAATCTATTCGCAAAATACTGCATATTGCATATGGCTAGAAAGCCTGTTGCTGGCGGCCGCATTACGGGATCGCACGGCGGCTACACTGTTCGCGGGACGAGCAGTACCACAATTTTAATTATCGGCCCAACTTGCTTTGTTGTACATCACGTGTACAGTGGCTTGAACTTCAGGACGTGGCAGCGATGATGCCGTGACGAGGAAGCCGGGCGACTGCGCATCATCATGCATGCTTACCCCGCACAGACGCCCGACTATGGTGCAACCCAAATAAAAAAGCGACCCAAAGGCGAACCAGAAGCGAACCAAGGCGAACCAGGGCGTCAGTGAGGATCTGCACCCGTTACCCAGGTGGCCATGCACTGTATAAAATGAACATGCAACTGACCATGTGCATCCGACGGAAAATGGTCCCTCATAGCTTTCGGAGACGTAAACACCGCCGCTCATTCAACATTGACAAGACACAAAACAATATTCATTTTATCCTAAATACTAAACACGGCGGCCATATCAAACTCTTGTTATTTAGCAGCTAAGCTTACAAAAGATTATGGCACTTGCTGTGTTAGGGAGCCAGTTGGATGAATTAGCCCTCACCGGGGGTGATCATCTTGCCTTCAGCTCCATGCAGGGTTATTTTCAAAGGCCACGCAGCAAGACACCCCGATATTGTTTCGGAACTTTACCCCAAAGTCGCAAGGTCTCACCACCACCTCCTGGGCAAAGTCAATGGATGCAAAATGGAATTATGCGAATTGTACGGTCTATTTATTTGCAAGGACTGCTAAAGCTCAAACAGCAGACATGACATTCCGATAACTTCGTCGACCCACACATCCCCATATCGCAACCACTCCACTAGTACATGCTCCGACGTGGTCTCCAGCACTGCAGCACTATGGTTGTCGATATCCACGCTCAAATTGACATCATTTTTGTCCAGGATTAGATCCATATTCTCGATTAGAGAGCCGTCATTAGACATAATGGTGAGGCGCTTGACCGCTACCAAAGTCCCAATGTCTTCGTCACCTGCGTCAGTGACTGCCTCGGACAACCCTCGTAATTGTGTCGCATCATTGCTCTCCAAGACAAGCTCCACCATTCGCTCCTTGGCAAAAGAGCGATAGTGGGGTGGAAGCGCCTCAAGTAATCTCGCGTGATGATATTGAAGAAAAGTCCGTCGCCGTGGTTGCCCTGCGCCTATGCTACCTTCCGAGATGTAGTGTAACTCTTCTAACGCTTGGATTGTCTTGGAAAAGTCGAGCTCAAGCTTGTCGAGCTTGCTTTGGTGTAATTCATCGAGCAGTCGGTGAAATGCGAAGTACCAGCTGCGGAACCGCATTTCATCTAGCATGCGATCGATACTTTTGCGGGTCGTATGGGGAAATTGTCCAGGGCTGCGTTAACAGCGCTAGCAAAAGATAGGATCGATATGGCGCGGAGTATGGTCAATACTCGGGCCGAGTTAGGGCGTTGGCTCGGTTCTATTGAAAGCATCTCGCGAACCAAATCAACCAACCGTGCAGAGACTGGCCCGGCATCTGCTTGTAAGTTTTCCAGCCAACACTCTACTCCAGGGTTTGATCTCTCCGGCCCACAATGGAAACGAAACCATTCCATGCCAGAGGCCACTTGAACTTTCCTCTTAGATCGAAACTGCTCCACGCCGTTCGGCCCTAGTACACTATGTGTTAACACTTCCGAGAGAATGCAGCCAAAAGACCATATGTCGCTAGCTCTGTTGACCTTCTGAGACTTGACTTTCTTGTCATCCAAGGTCTGGCACTCTGGCGCTACGTAAAAGCCACGAACATCTTTGAAAGTGGTCAAAGAATCTTCATCTGCGCTCCTAAAACTTGCGCTCCTAAAACTGGAGAGGCCGAAGTCCGCAAGTACGAATGTCTTGCCATGGATTAAGATATTCCGAGGAGCAAGATCGTGGTGGCATCCGGACAGGCTGAGATCAAGGAGTTCCGAGGTGAAGTTGTGCAATGCGTCAATCGCCGAAGCCAAATCTGCCAGTGCTAGCCACAGTTGTGAACCGTCTGGCCCCTTTGTGCCTTCTTTTCCATTCAAAAGATCTGCCAGCGATCCACCATTCGCAACAGCAAACATAAGATTATATCTGTCCCTGTACATATAAGAGCAATACAACTGAACGATGTTCGGGTGATTCAAATGGGTAAGAAGGGACAGGTTTTCAAGTTCCTTTTTGAAGACGGTCATGTCGCCGTCTCTTCCACATTCAATTTGCTTCCGTATAACCTACAAAAATAGTATTCATATTAGCGATGCCGTTATGTCTCCCATCATGGCGGATTCCAAGTACTGACTATGTCCCCGTCCAACGGCAGCCGATGGCAATCGGGATGCAGTTTCATCTTCCACACGGTACCCATTGATCCACGACCAGCAGGCTCTTCGCTGAGGAAAGGCAGTATGATCTCTTTGTCGAGCTTACGGGAGATCATGTGCCGCCGAAAGACCGGTATAACAAACATCCATTGCTTCTCTAGAAAGCGCTTAACCGTTAGACTTGTCGTGTCTTTCTCGAATATTCTTTGTAGTGTTTCCGATGTGTATGGTAGGCCATCATCAGGACAAGATCGTTGCAGTGAGTCACGCTGGAAGAAGTTGGAAATAGCTGCGGTGCGGCTAATCAAGACTAAAATCGCGAAACATTTTCGCGCTCCTCGCAGAATAGAGTTGGTCAGGTATACAACCTCCTGCGCCGGGGTCTAGATCTCATGTAGCGACTGCCTAATAAGCGACTCGCAGACAAGGTCGAGCAGTGCGGCTTCCGGGACGAAATGGTCGCCTTCAAAATTTTCGTTTCCAAAATATATACGGTCTATGCCGTCTTTAAGCTCCTCCATATTGGCTGCCGTCTTGTCAGTGGGATAATCTTGTACTGTGATACTTTTACTCGAGTAGACCACCATACCTATTGTTATATGACCTCGAAAATCATATGGCTTGAATAGACTGGATCTCGCTCTAGTTATGTTAGTACACATTCTCGTTTTACGGTTTCATATCAAGTATGCACCTCTGTCAGTACATGAGGCACGCTTATTTTGTAGTCTTCATCATTCTCCTACGTCGGAAGGCGTCAGGTCAGTAATAGAATACACCTTGTAGAGGTGCAGGCCTACCTGTATTGTGAAATTGCCCGCGCCGAATTTCTTAGTAAGCAGACTTCGGAGGTCTTCGAGCTTAATGTAGCGATTTGCAATCGTCTGTGGCGCCATGCTCTGAGTCTCAAAAAGAAGGAAAGATTATAGGGCGCGATAAACGACAGACTTCGTCAAGCTGCTTTTATATTCAGGCTCCCAGACAAAGATCGGACGGCTAGCCCCGCCCATTATCGCGGCCTTACCCCGCAGCAAACACCAATAATTGTCAGCCACGTCACGCACC